TTGCCGGTTCGTGCGATGAATACGCCACTGATACGAGACAGAAGGACGGGGCGGCAGGGAGAAGGATATATGTTTGACGACTGGACCCGATTGTATCGTATAGGCGAGCACGGTTCGTCCAATGGCAGATCGATATCGCGGCTCTTAACGGATTTACGACCCGTCTTATCTCACAAAGGCACCGACGACCACGCACCGCGAGATCGCTCGGATGCTATCGCTTAACGATTTCGTTCTGGACTTTACCTGGGTTCAATGCCAACGATTGTCCGACGGCTATGAGAAGCTCGCGCACGACCAATCGCCGGAAACGATATCGTTTAGATATTCGATTGACAGCGACCCGATCCGACCTCTTTCTCCCGGCGCGAGATAGCGTCTAGACGCAACGCGAGCAGGCTATCTTCACGCACCGTTATCCCGCAATCGCCCGATCAAACAGCCGTTGCTCGAATCGGTAACCGGAAATAACAAGTATTCGAACAAATATTCCAGTCTTTCGGTGAATTTCCGAACCGTTTCGACCGATCCGTTTCGAATTCTTCGAGCGAGATTCGTCGCTTGGCGAAGAGAAAGAGGTTCGAGGGGGCTACGGAAGCCGTGGAGAGGGTTGGAAGAAGGTTGGAAGAAGCGACGAAAGAAAGTGGTCTCGTTAGAGGGTAATAGCTGGGATCGGGAACGTGCGAACGAGCTCCGAGGCGGAGTCGCGAGATCTCGAGGATCGGGGCAGCGTTGGCGCGGCGTTCGTGCCGCGATATCGGTTGAACGGACTTCCGCGGCGCTCGTCTCACGAGCTAGAGAACCTCTTCGATGGGGATCTCGCGTTCGAAACCGCGCATTACCGAGCATTACGCGGCGCGTAGCAGCGCGCGGTCCCTCGCGTAATCGGCGGATCGTTTACGCGAATACGCCGGCAGGGCCGATTAATACGCTCCCCGCGAGCCGGCTGCGAGCTAGCGAGGAGCTGGTTCCGCGATAGACTCGGCTAGCAACGTTGTTGCGCCGAATGCGCCCCGCCAATTTACATATCGCGCATGTCGGGTACTTGTCTCGAAGCGTTTGCCTGCACGGCTCGAATTACCGCGAAAACCGGGGTTGCCTGCTGCTAGTTCGCCGTGAAACGCACCGGCGGAGAGATGCCTCGATAACACGCACGCATGCACGCGCCGGCCGACTCACGCACGCCGCCACGCACGTGCAGCTATCGAACGGTTATCGCGGAATTCGTTCTCGGATGGGTTCTGCACGGATCCGATGGCTCGCGAGTTCCCGAGCGTATTCGTTTCACCCGCCAACCCTTGTCGCGACGATCGCGAGCAGATACGCGAACGCGAGTGGTACCGTCAACGAAACGGATTCCGTTCGCGCATAATTCGATATTCGTAAAGAACCGCGCGATCTATCGAATCTGCACGGTAGCCGAGGGTTAGCGTGACGCTCGGAGACCAGTCCCAGAGAAATAGACATTTCGTCGCGAATGCTCGTCCACGAAGCCATTAGGCGTCCCCGTGATCGTACGTTATAAACCTAACTACGGGATCCGATGTTCGCGTCGCTTGTCTGCAAACAACCGGTTAAGCCGATACCCCCGAAGCCTCCTAGGAATCGATTTTATTCCCACTAAATACGCGGATTTACGGTTCTCCCTGGCAACGGGATCTACCTGGGAGATCGTGGTTTTATCGGTGGCGAAAAATCGGCACGAACCGGTACCTAGAAGATTCTTTCTTTTCTTTTCTCCTTGCGCGACTTCGAGTATCTCGGCGGGGTGAGAGTTCTCTCGGGTGCGCTCGTGGAATCCTATTTAATGCGAGATTTGGGAACGTAAATTAAGGATGGATGATCGGTAAAAGCCGCTGCCCCGGCGAAACGGGGCGATCGTTATTCCTTAATTCTTTCCGAAACATCGATCAGCGTTTATAGATTTCTCGGGTACCAAAATCACCGTAAAACCGAGCGGGGTACTGCACTCACCTGCTGCGTTAGTGGCTGCCTGTTGCCTTAACGACGCTGCGCGGACAGGTAGTGAACCAGAGTACCCGTTAAACTATCGAGTTTATCGCGCGGAAGATCGTAAAATCTGCCACGAGAATCCGCGCGGGCTGCCGATTCGACTGCGCCCGTGACAGGATGAATTATAGCCGAGCCCGAAATTTGCCCGGGCCTCCTTTTTATCATTATTCCCCCTGCCCGGCGAATAAAACGCCTAGCGTGCTCGACTTTTATCGACGCCCGGGCGCGATCGGCCGATTTCCTCCGCTAGGAAACCCACCCCCTTCAACCACCGACGTCGATCCATTATCTTCGGCTTGGCTTCCTCGCGCCGGTGGAACTCCGGTCGCGAGATCCTTGGTCCAGGGACGCGTGAATTTCCGTGAGAAAGTCCGGCATCTGACGTACAAGAGGACGCACCTGTGGCGATCGCGAGTGGAACGAAAACGCGTGGTCGGCGGAGATTTACCGTGGGTCCCGCGGGTTTTCGTAAACCCCTGGAAGATTATCCGTTGCTCGATCTCTTCTCGTGGTCGGGATCCGCCGTCACGGTCGCGCACCCTCGCCGTGTTCCCTCTTTCTCGTCGTTCATTCGCAGATGGCTACTCTTTCTCGTCGCATTATCAACTCCCACACTGGATGCCGCGGCGCGCTCGAGCAAAAGGGTTGCGCGCGTGGAGTACATGCATAGGCGGAGTCGCGTTCACGGGAAGATAATTAGCACAAGTGCCATTGGACACACGGGCAAGGTAAAACTGGCGAACGACAAAGGACGAATCCGTCGGCTGTCGGAGAACATCGCGCGTAAGCTTGGAGCCGTGGAGATCAAAGCGGGACTCGCGCGACGCGGTGAAAAGAGCGGACGCGAGGGTGGATCGCTCGGCTACCCCTTGTCGCGAATTATTTATTTAGTCCTTTCGAGGTCTCGTTAAGAGGGATACCCGTTGGCCGACGAATCTCTGGGCTCGACGGCCGTGCTGGAAACGCGGTGCCGGGAAACTGTCGCCGAACTCCCGGGGCTGGAATGATCGGCGACAGGGTTGCTCGAAGACGCCTGGGCGTCGATCCGTGGACGGGTCGATAATTTCCTCGGTTTCTAGGCATCTCGGGCGTAATTTAACGGAGGGCCTAGAGGCGGCAGCTGTGCCCCGACGGCGGCGGACACGGGACCGCAGAGTCACGATAAACTCTCGTAATTCACTTACGCGATATCCTGGCAGCGTATAAAGCCGTCGGTAAAGCCCGTGCGCGCCGGGCGAATTCCGTATTGAATGCAGAATGCCCGTTTCGCAACATTTGTATACGCGCGTACGCGATTATTCATACCTGACCATTGTATTGTACGTGCTCAACGCGGATCCATCGCGCGTCGTTTAATATTCGTCGGGACGGACAACAGATGGAAATTTTGATACACCGCTATCGGTCGGCAGCCGGGGCGCACGCGGTAACGAGTTCCACGAGCGCGAAATTCCTGTCCGACGGAACAGGATAATAGGAAAGAAGCCGCGGATGGAAAAGCGCGGTAAACCCGCGAGCGTATTAATAAGCGGGAAAGACCGGTAAACTGGAACCGTAAACTCGCGTACCTTGAGAAACGATTAATAAATTCGATTCGTTTATTTATTTGTTCCCGCTTTACTCGCCCGTGATTCCGGTTTGTTTATTTACGCCGATTCCGTCCGTTCATTTACATTTCCAGTTTGTTTAGTCGGATCTTCGCCGCGCGAAGTTTACTTTGCCGCGTTTACGATCCGCGTTTTCCAACCTACGGTGTATAATTTTAATCGTACACGTCCAGCCGATTCGCGAACCCGTAAGGGGTTCGTAACCAGTGCAAGGTACGGGCGAGATTAGTCGAAGGTGGCAGCACGGTTGATCCGTTGATCCGTGGATTCCGGATGAAACCAATCAAGGTATCGCGAACGATAACCATGCGGAACGTAATGATCTGGCGGTGGCGCGATCCGTATTGTTGTCGGTCTCCTAATTGCGAACTGTTTCAGCGTGCAATAGGCGCGACGTGCAATCTGGCATCGGCGATGGTCGGTGACGGTGGTGATGGTGTGGCGGTCGCACAATAGATTCGGTTTGATGCATTGCCGGCGAGCAGGAGACCGTTAATTTGGTGCCCTGCTGGCCCACAGCGCGGTCCCGCGCGCGGATTGCTGTTCTCCGTCAAACGTCGTTCGCGTTAATAACTCATCCAAGTAAATAATAGCGTTTGCCAAGATAGACCGGAGAATGCCACTGGCCCGCCAGTTTGTCACCGGCGAGATTCCAAAGCATCGATCGCGGCATCCTCTCGTTAATACGCGTCCCGTTTATCTCGTTGATACGTGGCCCCGGCCGTGTCGATCCATCGTTGCGAATTCGCGGACGGACGGTATCGATGCGTATGATCGATGCCACGTGCGAGCGTCGTCGTTTCCAACCACGGAGACGGCGGCGTAATAAAACTCGTTACAAGAAGAATTTAACCATGGCCAGGCGGCGAGAGTAGACGCGGAATATTCGAGATAGAGGCGAGAATCCCCTGTGGTCGGAAAACTGAATACTCATCTACGGAGTTGGCCAAACTTTCCACGACTCGGAGGGGGTAGGGGGGCGAACGTGACGAGGCAAGGGTTGGAATTGCATTTTGGAACGTGATTCGAGCTCGGTGACGAGAAGTCGCGCCGGGATGACGCGCGGCAACTCTACGGTTTCGCGAAATATTTGCTCCCGCGGAGAATTATCGCGTGTCGCCTAATAGACGGGGATCTCTTTACTCGGCCAAGACCGGTCTAATAATAGGTTTAATTACGAGCACGATTTACGCACCGGTCCATCCAACGTTTATGTTAATGCGTCGCCCCGGAGCGACCGATGCGTCCGTCTCGAAAGAGAAACGTTCCGATCGCTGTCATCGGGGCGTAATCACGCCCACGATCCGCTCGTGCGGCCGACACGTTCCCAGAAACGTTGGACGCGATGCTCACTGTGACGCGTTGACGGGTTTGTTTCAGAAACAATGCAAACGTCGACGCCCCGGCCGCGGTGCCAGCTCAGAGGAAAGAGCCGCACGAAAACATCGCCCGGATAGCCAAGCGGTATCTCGACGATAACATGCAGCAGGCGTGGATCAATCCTCGTCTAATATCGATGGTGAGTGAATATAAATGCAGTGATTATACGGCACGTTAGACGATGATACCGGTGCCTAACGTTCTCACGTTCCCGTCCAGGCAGATCGATTATCCCTCGTGACGCGCGGACACGCGCTTAGCTGTAATTTCAACCGGACAACAAATTAGTTCGTCCACGGGAAACCTGCAACGTAGACACCGCTAGTTTTTCCCATAATTTTCCTTTGCCGCAACTATCCACCTCGCGGCAGAATTAAATTACCAAACTCTCTGCCGGTTTTTCCTTCTTTTCCTTCTTCTTCCGCTTCTTTCGTGTCTCGGTGGCAAACTTTGACAGAATGGCGAAATTCCCCGTGTCGCTGCAAGGTATACCGCGCGTCACGTGTACCAACCGCCATTCCCCGTTCGTGGAACGCCGTTCTCATAGCCAGTTAGAAATAATAAGGAGTAGTAGGCGTTGGGAATATCGGTGGAATAAAACTCGTCGGCCGTGCTTCTCGTTAAAATCCAGCGACTAGACTGGTCGTCGCGGAGTCTCGAACAGGTCCCGGGGATTAAGATATACGCTTGCTCGAGATGCGCTGTCAGAGACGTCTAATCGCACTCGTGCACCTTGTAAAACGCGTGCTTGGACCGTTATTTCTCCCCCACGTCCTTCCTCTCCCCCGCGACGAGTTTCCTCGAGAAGAGGTTCGCGCTGGAAATCTCGATGAAAAGTTTACGTCCCGACACCGCGCGATCGGTCCCCTTTACGCCGGAGCGGAACGGTGGAATTATCGCGTGGAACCGGTTCGCGGACGGTTATCGAAATTCCTCTTCGCCCTTGTCCAGTTTTTGCGCGATATATTCGGATCACGGGGCGCTGAACACGCCACGAACGGCGTTGCCTCGGCGATCGCGCGATAGATCCGCGTTGGCGCGGCAGACTCGGCCGCAGACGAGCAGAACGACGACGAGTGGACGAGTCATTAAGCGAGCCAATAACAAACTCGTGATCCACATAACCCTTGGTTACGATCGCGGCTGTTATTAGCCCATGCGAGGTAGCAATCATCGGTGCGCCAGGTACGACGAGTCGTTTCGTAACGCCGGGACCCAGCGCCAAGTCGTTATTTTCTTTTCCTTCCTGCTCTCCCATCCTCCGCTCCTTCCCCGCCTATCTCTCCTTCTTCTCCGCCTCTTTTCTTCCAGCCGTGGGTTCCTCCTTGCCGCGACCTTACGTAACATCTTCCACGCGTTTCCCTCTGCCTCGCCGAGTCGATAATTCGACCTGCCAGCTCGCACACCTGCGTGCACCTCGCAGTGGCGTAATCGAGCGTATCCGTTCGGCCCTCCCGCCGATTCGCCGCCCTTCTACTCGAATTTGCGGTTTCCTTCCCAATCACCGACCTCTCGGGTACGTGCCTCGTTTTCCTTTTCGTTTCCGCGTCCTTCAACGGATTCCGAGTCAAAGCAATTCCCCGCTCGTCGTTCCGCGTGGATACTTTGTAAGACGAACGTCGAAATCGAGGTAAATCCAATGGTAAAACGATCGCCCCCGCTGGTTCGTACAGCCACATACCCCGACCGGTGACGAGTCAGGAGACGAGCGGAGCGACGATGATCGGCGTCGTGCCACGCACGACATAACGAACCCTGCTCGCCGTCCGTCCCCCCCCTAGCCGTCCGCCACGCGGTGTCCCCGCGTATTTGTCGAATCGGTGAAAACGCGCCCCGTGCACGTACGCAACGTCGAGGCCGTTTCGCGGTTACGCTACTGTCGTTGCACTCGTGTACGCGCGCGTGTTCACCAGCCCCGACAGGATTTACGATCGCTCCGCGTTACTTATCGCTGCCGGCTTTATTAGCATAATCGGCCGCTGCGAGGATAGATTACCCCGTGAAACCGGATCATCGTTCCATCGGCAATTCGATCGTCCGCGGATCGGCGAGGACTCGTTTCGAGGAGTGCGCGTACGCTGGTCGACTTCCGTCGCCGCTCGGCGCCGCCATTTCTACGGTAGCCTCGGCGATGATACACCGAGCTCGTAAATTAAAGCATCGAGTAGCGGGGCACCGATCGACGCAGTCGAGATGTATGCCGGGTACTCGATGCGGTCCATTAAGGAACGGTGGACTGGAGCGCGAAGGCAGCGCGTCGAGTGCCTACCTGTCGACATCAGCGCCGGGATTCGCGAAAAGATGGATGAACAGGCATTTTTCACGGGCCTCGCTCCGATGCTTCTAATTAGTTTTCGCGTGTTCGCTTTTCACCAGTGCCGGATCGCCGGCAGCTGTTCCGCGCGCCATCGCATACCGTGGACCGCGTCCAAGGGGTGGACGACGGTCGTGGTCAGCCGGCGGTCGTTAACGCGGTCACTTTCTCCGAAATCGTTTCTGCTGACTATCCGACTGCCGTGGACGTTCCCGGGGCTTTCCTTCCGGGCCCAGCTACATCCGCGGACGGTATCCAAGCCGGATCGACGGTGGAAAATAATTTATCGCTCGGCGGCTTTCCCCGGGGTATTTACACGATGTCGCGAGTCGGAATAATTTCCAGCTTCGTTGGAGATGCGACTCGCAGGGAAATTGCCGCGACAAAGGACGGCGACGGGAAGTACCCGTGGAAAATACAAGTGGAATCGAAGTTTCGACGCCTGACGCGAGAAATCCGAGACGACGACAGGCTTAGTCTAGTCGCCGATGCGAAAATGAGACGCGATACGCGAGAAACTATACGCGATCGATAGCGCGTGTAATTTGCCAGCGGGAACCTCGTTGCAACCGGTTCTCTGAATTCCCGCTGACTTTCTTCCGTGATCGATACGCCGCGTTTCCGAGAGAGGATGTCGCTCGCGTCTCTCGATTTGGCCCTCGATCGGTACCGTCTCCGCGCCAACGCAGGGGTGTCGGCGTGGAAATAAATCGCTAATGGCCCGTTGTCGTCGAGCTACGTTTCTACACGCGTTGCAGAGACGAGAGACGAGAGAGAGAGAGAGAGAGAGAGAGAGAGTGTGGAGCGATATAGATTCGCCGGGGCGATTGATAGCGCGGCGAGGAAAGTTAATTAAGGAACGGACGAAACAAGATTCATTCGCAGTCTCGTCAGCCATTTAATAATCTCGAAAATTCGGACGATTAGGAGAAGGTAGGGGTGCAAACACGCATACGCGTGGCACCACGCTCGTCCACGCGTATCTACACGGGCACGCACACGCGCGCGAAGAGGAGCCGCCTATCCGACGCGATTCCCCGAGTGCCCTGCACTCAGTTCCTCTAATAACAATAATAATAAGAAGGGATGGAGGCCCGTTTTAATCAGAGGGTCTGCCTGCCTGACGTGATTAACTCGAAGAGCCCAGGGAAGACGGGCAGAGGCGGCGAAGAGCGAGGAGGGTGGAAGAAGGGGGAAAGACGCGGGGTGGCTGCTGTCATTTTCGGTGTTTATCGTATCAACGAGCCGGGAGGGGCTTGATTTCGTCGCCTCCGCGCAGGAAGATGGGGTTAAATCTTGGATTTCACGGCCGATTTGTACCTCCTTCCAACCTCGTCTTTGCTTCGTCTCTTTTTTCCCGCCTCGGCCCGCTCAGCGCCTACGACCGTCCGCGCCGATCCGCACCCTTCGCCATTACTCAACCGTTCGAGCGTAGAAAATGCTCGGAGTGCCCCCCTTTTATTTTCGCCGTGGCCGTTTTCCAGCCGACAGCAGATAGCACGAGTATTACGTAATGTTAATGCACAGCCGTTGACTTTATCGGGACGGCCATAAATCGGGGCCGCGCGACGACAGCGAGTAATAAGGGAAAAAAGCGGATAATTAAGTCTTGTCCGACGGCTAAATTATTTTACTCGGGAGATTGGCCGACGCGACCACGCGCGTTCCATACGTGCCGGTATCAGCCACGTATCTCGTTCGTCCAACGACACGCGCGTACGCTCGCAACCCGGCGGCCTGGCGTCACGGCGCGCAGCGTCGCTCGGATCGGATCCACGCGAGATCGTAATAACGTCGGTCGCGTCTATTGTTCGCGATTTTACCGTGGACGATTTAAGAAAGAAGACCCAAAGATGAATGCTATTATGCGTGCTATTCAAAACGAGCAAGGAGAACCTCCTCGAAGCGGCAGAGAAGGATTTTACTTGGGAGACGTCGCTCTTCTTCCCGGAATTAAAGTCATGTCTATGGGGTCCCGACATTGAGAACGTCTCTCAGCTATTTCTCCTCCCGGTCCCGCCCCGGTTCCCGTGCGTCTCGCGCTTTACTTTGGACGTCTAATTAACAAGGTTTTCCCGAGGGTTTTCAAGGCGTCTTGCCACCGACGAGTAACCGACGAAGCAGTAAATACCGTCGCATGGCAATCGACTTGCCTCGCGATGTCTCCATATCTCTCACTCTCCCTCTCTGTCCGTTGCGCCCGGTTATCGAGCACCCCTTCCAAATCTCCCACTATGCTCGCTGAATTTTACGATAGAACACCTTTTCGATATTTCTGCCGGCTGCGAGGCTCTTCGCGCGGCGAGATCCAGGGGTCCCCGAGCAGCAGCCGATGGAGCGGAAGAAACTGGTTTCTTCCGAGTCGAAAGAATCCGCCGCGTCACCCCGTACGGGAATTACACCGGGGTGCGATGACTTCTTAAGTAGTATCGCGCTTCTCCTCGTTGGCGCCATTTTCACGGAGACTCGGCATCGCGACCTTCCGCGTCGGCGAGCGTCTCTGCCATTTCTTTCCCGCGGCTTTCTCCCAGCGCTCTCTTTCCCGCGCACTCGTCGATCCACCGTTTTTCGCGCTGAAACGCGACGCCCCCGCGAAAACAATTACCAGAAGATCGAGGTTCGTGGCGGAAATCGATACCCGGATGCGCCCCGCGTATCGATCCTCGCGGCGCCGAGTCGAAGGTTACGAAAGCGAAACGGCGTAGACGCGTCGGGGACAGAGATAAGGGAAGAGGGATCGGAGGCTGGTTTAGTATTCTGCTTTGCTCGCTTCATTAGCGCGGCACAAAAGTGGCTTAAAATAATTGAGTCTACGCCGAGTATAA